AGGTAGGAGTAGAGGGATAGAATGACATGAGGTAGTACCAGGAGTGCCCAGGCTTCCTGGACCATCTGTTTTGAGTTTCTTTTGGACGGATTCCAAGATGAGACTTCCGATCAGACCGTCCCATTCTGCTGTTTGAAGCTGCTTTTGTGTATGTTTATTTTGTTTTATTTAGCCTTGGGGGCGACCCAGTGGTGCATGAGGAGTACTCAAATCTCAGTGCTCAATGTTCATTCCTGAAAGGTCTAGGTGACCAGTGGGATGCTGGAGGTCCAAAGGTTTCATCTTGGGTTTTCTGTTTTCTTTGGGGTGGCAGAGCAAGGATTCTTGCAATCATTTCTTGTGCTACACTCTGGCATTGCCCCTGGCAGTGCTTGTGAACCATATGGGATGTTGGGGACCGCCAGTCCTACATGCTGTCCCTGGAACAGCTGTCCTGTTACGCCAACCTGCTGCTTCAGCTTCTTTTGCATTGTTTTTGTCATCAGCTGTCCTCTTGACTCTGTGCTCTGGATTCACAACTGACTGGCCTCAAAGCACCCTGGGGTGTGCTGGCCCCGTTTGCGCCCTGGCAACTACAGTGACTTGGGCCCCCAGACTTGCTTTTCTCCTGTTTTGTCCTTCCTACTTTAGAGAGACTACCTGCTCGGTCATATAGTCTTACGTTCACATAATCTTGTGTGTGGTTTTCTGGGCATGCGCTGATCCCAAGGAGAAAGAGCCAAGGATCTCTGCGGCCAGTAGAGATGTTGGGGTCAAGAAACTTCTACCTTATTTGAGCAGGATTTGGGGCGGTACAGTGCAGTGAGTTCCTACAGGCACAAATGCCATGCACTGCTCTGAGTAGTTGTCTATACGGACTGTCGAGTTCTAAATCCTAGTGGTCATGAGCTGTGAGGGTGCAGCGGTGAGCGTGCAGTGTTTTTTGCTACACCCAGGGATAGTCTTTTGGATCGTACAAGTCTGTGTTCAGGTGATCCTCTCTACAGTGCTCACTGGAACAGTGGTGCTCGAATTGGCCGGGTGGTTACCAGGAAAGGCAGATACATCCAAGAACCTTCTGTATAACGTCCTCCCACTTTAGCAGATCCAGTTCCCTTATGTGATTTTTGGGGCCCGTCAGTCATGCGTGAGCATGGAGGCTGGTTCATTCGAAGTGGAGAGGCCCAGCGACAATATAGGACCCTGGGACCTGGCCTCAGAGTAGTGGGAATGAGGCTAAGATAGACTCTGACTCCCACCCTCTTCGTGTGCTGACTCAGTACGCAGTGACCTTCCATGATGTGGCTGTGAACTTCACCCCAGAGGAATGGTCATGCCTGGAGGCCTCTCAGCGGAAGCTCTACAGGGACGTGATGCTGGAGACCTACCAGAATCTGCAGGCTGTCGGTGAGAGCAGTGTGAAGCCAACCATGTCTGAACAGACCCGCTTGGCTCCCTGGGGTTGGGCGGCAGCTGTGTGTCCAACAGTAGCTCTGTGACGGGCGTGCAGTAGCTCTTCCCTCCCTCGTTTTTTTTAGGGTTCACCTGTGGATACTCAGGGCTTACTCTCAGCTTTGTCTTCAGGAATTACTCTTGTGGGGTAGACAGACCGTATGGGGTGATTCAGATCAACCGTTTTCGACTGTGTCCATGGGAAGATCCCTATCTGCCCAGTTATCACTCAGGTCCCTTTAAATACTTCCATCCATTGGTGCAACAATTTACTTTGTGTACTACACAAAATTTTGTGTGTTTAATTGGTTTTGCTGTTTCCTTTGTTTGGGGGGCACAGTCCACAGATCTCTTGGCTCTGTGCTAAAGGATGACACCTAAGAGTGTTCAGGGGCCATTTGGAACCGTATATTGAAACCTCTTGGCAAGTTAAACTGTCGGTGTCTCACCCCCCGTACTTTTGCACCAGTCACTCAAGTCAGACGGTTTTTGCATTTTCTTTTTTCCTTAGGGATTAGGGATTATTCCTGCCTTTGAATTCAGGATCCACACCTGGACTTGCTCCAAGACCATATGGGCTGCCTGGGATCAAACCCACATGTGTGTGCAGCGCTTCTGTCTTATCTGCTGTACTATCTCTTTCACACCACAGGGTATTTGATATCTCGTCTCTCAACTCATTAGACGCAGCCCTATTTCAGTGCTTTGATTTACTTCTAATGGTTCTTGTGAGACTTCAGCAAGACTTAGGTTTTGCTTCTGGACTCTGCACTCAGGGATCGCTCCTGGCTGGCATGAGGGACCCTAGGAGATATCGGGTATCGCAACTGGATTGTCCGTGAGAAACTCCTGCTGTGCTCTCTTTCTGGATACATTTTTAGCTTAAAAAATAAGGGTCTCTTGTCACCCTTGGCCATTTCCAGATTTATTATGCACTTAGTTTTTCTGAAATCCATGAAAAGTTCATGAGGGGCTCAGGAAACCCCATGTGCTGCTGGGCCTAGAGAGACAGTACAGGGAGGAAAGTGATTTTCTTGCAAGCGGCGCACGTGGGTTAAATTCCCGGCAACCCATGTCATCCCCGAGCACCAGCAGCAGTGATTTCTGAATACAGAGTCAGGAGTCTGCCCTGATCATTGCCAGGTGAGACCCAAAACAAGACAAAAAATAAAAACATACTGTGCTAATCAACCCCCTGTCGGCCATACACAAGGCCAGGTCTAGAGTATTTGTGATATTTTCTTCGGTCATAACTCTCGAATAACTAGAAATATGTGGAATTTTGGAAATGGACATTCTGTTCATGCTTTTCAGATATATGCCCACTTATATCAGGAAAACATGGGCATTTACCTGTCACCTTTTCCCTGTGACTTATCCATGCCTCTGTCTCTGTTGGGGCAGGGCACACTGGAATGAAGCCTGCAGTGATCTCCTGGCTGGAAGGAGGAGCTCTGAGGTCGGGTTGGAGAGGCGTGTGTGCGGGTGAGTGTCTGAGGACCCTTCCTGGCTCAGGCCCTGTGCAGTGTATGGGTGCCCTGAGCATGTGTGAAACATGCTGCTGAGGCCGGGGCCTTGGTGTCCTGGATCCTTGGGTCTGTGCCGCACTCAAGCTGCTCTTCATTTCCCTGGACTGTCAATCACAGAATGATCCTGTAATTTGCTTCCATGGCTTTCGAATAAATAACACCATAACAGAGATAGTTTGGATCTAAATGATAGTACAGCAGGGAGCGCCTTGCAGTGCCTGAATGTGACCTGTTCAATAATCTCTTTAATAACCTGGTTCCCCGAACATCACAGGTCTGCTCAAAAACAAAAACATAACCTAGTGTAGAATTGCCAAGATCCTCACAGTTTTCCACTATCCGAATCTTTTCTTTAGTGTGGGACTCTTTGGACTTTGCGAACCACAGAGATGTACTGTTAACTACATGGCATCATTATGCTACATTTTTTGACATGTGCTTGATTTGCATGTTTTGTTCAGTTTCAGAACGGAAACCGCGACTTCAGGATTTGGCATTAGAGCACTTTGATTTGGGAATGGGGTCAGCAGGTACGAGTGAGTTGGTAAGATTCACGAATACAGAATAAATATTATTATGCCAGCAGGAGTGGACCAAGTATGTGATTGTAAAGGTGGAAGGCTGGGATTGGCAGGGAGAAATTCCAAAACCTGATGCTTGGAGTAGAGGACTCTTAGCTTTGCTAGGTGCTGAAATTCACCATGTATAAAAAGTACTGTGAGTTTTGATTGGCTTGACAGTGGTAGTTGTTTAGAAAGCTAATTTCTGCGCCCTAGAGATGGTGCAGTGAGAAATATACTTGTTTTGCTTAGGGATGGATGGTCCTTACCCAGCACGCCTTATAGACAGCATAGACCCACAGAAATGATCCTAGACACTGCATGGTGTGCCCCTCCACCCACCCAACCACAAATAAATAGAAACGACAAAAAAGAAAGAGAAAAAACTTCATTGATCCTGAAAGGCATCACTTGTGGTGAGAGAATTGCAATGGCCAGGTGGTCTGCTTCAGCTGCGTTACGATGCAGCGTAGTCTTCACCACTGCATCACAGGTTCCACACGGAACTTTAACCAAACCGACATGTGGATCTATTCATTTTCTCCTGAAATGGATGTGTCCGTTTTCTATAGAAGGAATTATTTCTAGTTGTATTCCTTCATTAATTTAAAAGGGGGGAAAGTCACAGAATTTACTCTCTATCCATCAATGTTGTGCGTCCAACTTACGGTAACATGAAGTTATTCAATAGTAAGACAATTCATATGTCAGTAATTGCATTTTTGCGGTGCATATGTGTGAAACTACATCTGAAGGGCTCAGTTTTTTTGACAGGAAGACTCAGTGAATAAGTCAATAATTAGAATCATCTGTTGTTCTACAGGAAAGCTGCCACCTCGAGTGGAATGTCTCTGATCCTGCACTGTATGATAATGTCTCGAGTGATCAATCCTGCCCTCAGCCCCATGAGGAAACCGAGACAGGCGGGATGTTGTCTGAGGGTGATCAGAATGGTGAGAGCTACCTCACTCTGAAGAAGCCCTCTCCTGGAAAAAGTTCCTTGGAGTGTGTTATTCTCAGTTCACAGACACAAAATTCCCCAATTGGGCACCTGCTATGGAGAGAAGCACTGTTTATAGTGAGTCCCTCACAGCAACATACCCTCAACCACAGTCACCATGAGCAGAACCCATATAGGTGTAAGGAATGTGGGGGAGCCTCCCCATGTTCTCATCACTGTGGTGTTCCCTTAGAAAACCACAGTGGACAGAATCCCCAGAAATGTCAGCCCCAAGAACAAAGTATGAGTCAAGGGTTACTCCATCATGACCATATGAATATAAATTCAGGAGCGAAACCTTTTGCATGTGAAGCATGTGGGAAGGCCTTCGATCAATCATCACATCTTATTATGCATAGGAGAATTCATACAGGAGAGAAACCTCATGAATGCCAGACATGTGGGAAGGCCTTTATTCAGACCTCTAGTCTTAATAGACCTATGAAAACGCATAGTGGAGAGAAGCCTTATATATGTCAGGAGTGTGCTAATGCCTTTACTCGATCCTCAGGCCTCAGTATACATAGAAGTATTCACACTGGAGAGAAACCGTATATATGTAAGGAATGTGGGAAGGCCTTTGCGAAAGCCTCAAATCTTAGTGAACATAGGAGAATTCACACAGGAGAGAAACCCTATATATGTAAGAAATGTGGGAAGGCCTTTGCGAAAGCCTCAAATCTTAGTGTACATATGAGAATTCACACTGGAGAGAAACCGTATATATGTAAGGAATGTGGAAAGGCCTTTGCTCAATCCTCAAGACTTAGTGAACATAGGAGAATTCAGACTGGAGTGAAACCGTATATATGTAAGGAATGTGGAAAGACCTTTGCTTTGGCCTCAAGACTTAGTGAACATTGGAAAATTCACACTGGAGAGAGACCCTATGTTTGTCAGGAATGTGGAAAGGCCTTTATTTTGGCCTCAAAACTTAGTGTACATAGGAGAATTCACACTGGAGAGAAACCGTATATATGTAAGGAATGTGGGAAGTCCTTTGCTGAAGCCTCAAGCCTTCGTGTACATAGGAGAATTCACACTGGAGAGAAACCGTATATATGTAAGGAATGTGGGAAGTCCTTTACTGAAGCCTCAAACCTTAGTGTACATAGGAGAATTCACACTGGAGAGAAACCGTATATATGTAAGGAATGTGGGAATGCCTTTGCTACAGCCTCAAGCCTTAATGTACATAGGAGAATTCACACTGGAGAGAGACCCTATGTTTGTCAGGAATGTGGAAAGGCCTTTGCTACAGCCTCAAGCCTTAATGTACATAGGAGAATTCACACTGGAGAGAAACCGTATATATGTAATGAATGTGGAAAGGCCTTTGTTTTGGCCTCAAGACTTAGTGTACATAGGAGAATTCACACTGGAGAGAAACCGTATATATGTAAGGAATGTGGGAAGGCCTTTTCTCAATCCTCAAGCCTTCGTGTACATAGGAGAATTCACACTGGAGAGAAACCGTATATATGTAAGGAATGTGGGGAGGCCTTTGCTAAAGCCTCAAGACTTAGTGAACATAGGAGAATTCACACTGGAGTGAAACCGTATATATGTAAGGAATGTGGGAAGGCCTTTGCTAAATCCTCAAGCCTTACTATACATAGGAGAATTCACACTGGAGAGAAACCGTATATATGTAAGGAATGTGGAAAGGCCTTTGCTGGAGCCTCAAGACTTAGTGTACATAGGAGAATTCACACTGGAGATAAACCATAATATATGTAAGGAATGTGGGAAGTCCTTTGCTGAAGCCTCAAACCTTTGTGTACATAGGAGAATTCACACTGGAGAGAAACCATATATATGTAAGGAATGCGGAAAGGCCTTTACTTCATCCTCGCAATTGACTATACATAGGAGACTTCACAGTGGAGAGAAACCGTATATATGTAAGGAATGTGGGAAGTACTTTGCTGAAGCCTGCTGATTTTCACCCGGGCTGCACCTATGCCAGTATTCTTGTGCTTGGAATTGCTTGTGTGTTAACTTGTAATCAATGGGTCATGGTGATGAAAATAAGTACGAAGTTGACTGAATAAACAGGTACAGAAACAACCTCCTGCTCAGAGCTGTCATGGATCACTACTCTATTATTGTTTGCTATGCTTCTGGCTTGGCCCAGTGGGACTGGTTAGTGGGAATTATGGCAGAAATCAACCAAGATGCAGCATTGAATACTTTGAAAATGGAAAAATAGGTAATCCTTCATTCTTCAGTATTTCCTGTGTTAGGATTTGGAATGCTTGAGCACCCTGGTTTGGCAACTTGAGCGCCAGGTCTAGCCAGCTTGTATGGTGCATTCAAGCTTGTTTCTTACTTGTTCTGGATATCCAGGCTTTCGTAGATGTGGAGCTTTTTAGGGGTACATTGGGTGCTGTTGTGTCGCTCAGGTGTCATGGGTGAAGGTGCGTTATCCTGAGGGCCCCTGCAGCCACCATCGATCCAGGTCCAAGACGGCACTGGAGGTTGGGCACATGGACTTCAGGCCTTGGTGTGAGGAGCCTGCAAAGAGTGGGGGTCTTGGTCATCTCGTTCCTTCCTACTGGAGACTGTGAAGGACCCTGTTTGGAGCCTTTGGACTGGAAATAACACTTATCGAAACTCCAGATATGTTCACGGGCAGCCCCCAAAGGAAAGGGACACTTTTGCCGTCGGTCATTTTCATTGGATTCAGTGCTGGGTTTGGCACTTTGGGGTGTGTTTAGACACGTGAGAGGTATATGCCTTGAAAATTTACTCTTTGGATTATAATTTTTTTTTTGCTCTTTGTGTCACACTCAGCGTTTCACATGGGTTTCTCCTGACTTATGCACTCAGGAATTACTCCTGGTAAAGCTCAGGTGACCATATTGTTTCTGGGATTCGAACCCGGGTTGGTCACGTGCAAGTCAAACCTCTTACCCGCTCTGCTATCACTTCAGCCCCTCTTTGGATTAATTTTAATAGCTGCTTTTATTCAGGGGTGTTGGAAGGGATTCTTTGATGCACAAGTTTTACTTCTGGTTTTGCATCTCAGGAATTATTCTGTGGTGCTGCTGGGTACCTATCGGATGGGGAGGCTAGCATCCTAGTCGCTTCACAATGATTCCAACCCCACTATTGGTGTTTTTTTTTCCCATATATAGAATTTCTACAACACGGGATTATGGTACCGCCAGCAGGTCAATCTGTGCCTGTAAGGCGACTGCATCAGCAGCCTGATGGAACCATCAGACTTCCAGATACTCCGAAATAGATGTTGTGCCTTTGGCCAGACAACAAAAACTTTGGGCAAAGTCTTCCAAGAAAGTAAACAGCCAAAGTTAGGTATGTGCAAGACACAACAACAAACCATTTCCTGCTCACCTATATAATTGGAGGCAAGGTCTCTCTGGTTCCTGATCAAACCTCTTAAAGGCTACGATCCCAGAGACTCAGAGATAAATCTCGGAACCCAGCAGCTTTTTGCAGAGATGTGCCCGATACCCGCAATGAGCTACCGGCGACAGACCACCACAAGGGGAATGGGTGTGTTTCTCAGCCTGATCCCACTTGGTGGCTCGGTGGCCACCATCTTCCATAGACCATTGGACAGACAGGTTTGGGCCTGCAGTGACAAGACATGCAAGGCCTCATAGGATTGGGCTGGACTCTGCACTTTCCTCCCCACCTCAATGAGACCCCGAGTCGCTGCCCATGTACGAACTTTCTGGCTCTTGATCACTCTGTTTAACGGCCATGATCCCAGAGTCTCAGAAACTAATTTCGGAACCCAGTGGCTTTCAGAAGAAATGTGTTCTGTCCCCACAGTAGGTTACCAAAGCTGGGTATTTCAGGTGGGAATAGGTTTTGTGCCTGGCGGTTCAGTGGCCGCCATCTCTTAGGGCTTCTGGACGGTTAGGTTTGGGACTGCAGTGAGGAGACATGCAGGGCCTAATGGGATGGTGGTGGAGCCAGCCCTTTTCCCCCCGCCCCAACGAAACCCCGAGTTTTCTGACGTCTACGATTGACCTCTGTGGCTCGTGATCAAGGTGAATAATGGCCATGATCCCAGAGATTCAGAGACAAATCTCGAAACCCAGTGCCTTTTAGCAGAAAAGCATCTGGATCCTGCAGTAGGTTACTGTCCCAGGTCCACCCCAAGGGTATTTGGTGCTGTCCCCCCAACTGCTCCTCCTTGGCGGCTCGGTGGCCTCCATCCGCCAAAGGCCTTTGGAAAGTCAGGTTTGGGCCCACACTCACGAAGATACGTGGGGCCTTGCTGGATGGGTGTGGAGCTGGCCAATTCCTCCCCACTCCAACAAGAGCCTAAGTCATTCCCACAAACCACCTCTCTGGCTCGTGATAAAGCTGTTTAATGGCCATAATCCCAGAGACTCAGGAACAAATCTCAGAACCCAGCAGGTTTTTGCAGAAATTCCTCCAGATTTTGTTGTTAAAATTTCATAATTCCAAAATCATATGTTATTTATAACCAGCAATTGAAAAAGAATTGTCTACTGTTGCGTTTTCACCAGATCAAAGTGCCGGAATAAAATCCCAAATAATAATGGTGGGTCTTGTGTCAAAATATTGAATGTAATCAAAGTAGAGAGAATAATTGGAAATTATCTGCCCCACAGGTAGAGGAAGGCTGTGGAATGGCATTATACTTGGGTTTTTAGTGATGGAAAGTGGGCACGGTGAAGGGACGGGTGTTTCATTGTATGACCGAGACTTAAACCTGAAAGCTTTCTAAGTGCTCTCCCATTTTCCCCTGTTTTCTCCCATTTATTTAGAAATGGCCAGAGTAATAGTAGAGCAAGTAGGATGCTTACTTTGCATGTGGCCAACCCAGGAGTCCTCCAGTCCACAACATCTTTTCATTGCTCATTGGACATTGAGCGTCCCCTTCTCATTCCTAGAACATGTAATGTGGGGGTGTGGCATGGGGTAGGGGTATCTTCTCCCTGAAGCTGTTCATTACGGACAGATCCAGTGCTTTCCTTTCTTGACTTTATTGTGATTCTTCCCTATCTGTCAGGTATGTCAAGTAGTCCATGTGTTTCAAGGCTCTTGTTTTCCCAGTTGTATAACTGGCCAGACTGTACACCTAAAGGGTCGGGTGCCCTTTCTGGACTCCTCTCAGTCAATCTGACAACATGCATATCTTTGCCTTTGGATCATTGCCATGGTTTTTTGAATTTGGGAAGAAATTGAGTTTTCTTTTGTTATGGGGCCTGGGGATGCTCAGCAGTTATTTCTGGTTGTTCTCGTAAGTTGCTTTTAGCAGTGTTCAAGGATCAAACCCTGTCAGCCTCATGCTAGGCAAATGCCTACCTACTGTACGCTTGTACGCACCAAAAACTGTTTTATTGTGTGTATGTTAAATTGTGACTGTGAGCCCATAGTGAAGTTAATTAGGACGAGAACAGCAGTGCATCACGGTGGGTTCTCGCCTTACAGATGCCGCCTACCTTCGATGCCCAGCATCCCCTATGGTATCCCAAACATCACTGGGTCTGATTAAAAACAAAACCCAAAAGGATTTTTTGGGGGATTGCTGAGCTCCTCCCAGCAACACTTCCCACAGATTTTCCCTTTCTGTAGACTTGCTTGGACTGTGAGAACTATGGAGATGTCCTCCACCTGCTTGGTTATTCAACTGCATTCCATTCAACATTGGACTAATTCTCATTGTGCATTTTGTTTGATTTCAGAACTCAAATCACAGGTTTATGATGTGACATTACAGCAATTTCTTTAGGGAACAGGGGTATTGCATACAAGTGTGCTGTAAGATTCTCTTGTTTAAACTATTATGCCATTGGAGTGCTCAGTGGACCGAGCATGCGACTTCAAAGGTGGGGTCCAGCTCCATCCCCACAACCACATCTATGGTCTCAGCATCACAGGAAAAATATCAGAGCCTAATGCCTGGACTAGAGGGTCTTTAACCTCAGTGGGTGCTGAAATCTGGAAATTTATTTTATTGTATTGTTTTTTAAAGTCTTCATTAAAATGCCAGTATTTTTAATGTTATTGATAGTTGTATTTAGGCGTACAATCATTGACCACCAATTCCTGCATCATCTTCCCTCCACCCGTGTTCCCGTATTCCCTCCCCACCCAGCTGCCCACTCTGCCCCCACCTGTCATCTGGACAAGCATATGACTAGGTTTCAGTGGTTACAGCTTAGATCTCTTGTTTTCAGTTCTGTTGCATCTGTGTTTTGGGTAAATGGCTACACCCCTCACTCATGTCACTGGCATAAATGAATCCCTGATCCCTGTAAACTTCCGGGACTCTTCCGCCCCAAATTTCTTTCCTTCTTAGTCCGGCTTCTCTCTAAACACTGGAATCAGGGATGATTTAAGCAGCCCCTTTACATTACATTTCCACATCCAGTGTTCGGTATTCCACAGATGAGTGAACAGCATCCTGTTTTTGTTTCTTTTTCTGGCTAACTTCACTCAAGACAGTATCTTCCAGTTCCAACCATGTTGGTGCATAAAAGCAGTAATTCTAAAACCTAAAAAATATATCAATTGATCTCCCTTTATTCATCGATTTATTCGAGTGGGTGTCAGTAACGTCTCCATGCATGCCTGTTGCGTGCTAGTGTAGCCCAATGGCATCTGTTCTAGGAACATGGAGAGCC